CGTCACGTTTCTTAAATGAAACTGCTTTGGGTGCGACAATGCGCTGTTTAGTGAACAAACTTGGTTTGGTGGAATTAATAAAACTTTGTAGACTAATGCCTTAAAAGCCCCTTTTATTTTTAAGTTTTGACCGTATCCAAGCGATCTTAAAGCTGGTAGTTTAACACTCTTAATTGTAAATGCGGATATATTGATTATAAATGCTTCGGAAATATTAATATAACTCTGTTGTACTTGACTATGTTAAGGTGATGCAACGCCCGGTTATACTGCGTTTCTGTCTAAATGTATAGTTTCTAGAGCCATGGCGTCATAATGATGGTATTAAGCGGTGGAATAATTCAGGTAGGACTGTGTAGGACATCACTGAAGGCCTAGGTGTGAAATGCACGGCCCGCCACTGGGTTCTTATGATAGGCTCATAAAGTCATAAAGTCATAAAGCCTCTGACAGGGTTGACCAACAATCTTTGAGCAGATTTTTATCAGTGTGTGAAACCAATGTTCCAGAGTTTACCCAGAAACGTGTTAGCACCATAAGCTGCTGAATACTGCCTCCCACATAAACATGTTCCCTTAAAAACAAGCAGCATTCTCAGTCCTTGTCAAAACATAAGCTGATATTTTAGTAAACAAGGTATTCACAGTCGTCACAAGCACGGTTTGAAAATAATCTCTGTCTGAATGAAAACGCAAAACATAATTCAAGTGCTGTGAATGCCATGGGGCAGCTCGTCAAACACAGTTTTTATCATTCACTTTATTAGTGTCACTCAAAATATGGATGCAAAGGCCTTCTCGCGTAATGCTTTGGAATCAAACTCTATGCCAATTTCTGTGCAATCTGACTCCAGCTGCAATTTAGTAAGTAGCAGACACTTTCACTTTTAGTTTTAAAAAAGTGTAGTGTCCGTTGTCCGACTATGTTCTGATTACAGATTAGTATTAAGACCCCCATTTGTTCTCTTCTTAATACACACCAAACCATGAGCCATACACTGGGGTATCAACCAAACCATGAGCCATACACTGGGGTATCAACCAAACCATGAGCCATACACTGGGGTATCAACCAAACCGTGACTTCCATGTATCGTAAACTCAAGCAAGGATTAAAAGCCACTACCCCAGATGTATTCCCCCATGACGCCCAATGGGCCTATGCTCATCGGACTGGATACCAACTTTTTGTAATTGACCATTGATTTCATTTTTGTTTCTCATAGATGAGAAGATTGCAGTGCCAACGCCTCAAACAAACATCATACTTTTCCAACAAAAACTCCAATCTAACCTCCAGAGCAAATTTACGTGTGCCCCTGAGGGTATGACAGAGACAATGGATCAGGATCAGTGTCTGGATGACATCTTCACAGAGCTGTTCATCACACCTGGAGGGGAGGTGCCCATCAACGACCAGCACGAGGTCATGCAGATTGGAGTAAAAGGGAAGTTAGCAGGCACAGAAACACCAATTGAACCAAGTAACATCTTCAAAAGCCCTACTGGAAACCTCAAACCCATAAGAACAGTCCTTACGACTGGAGTAGCAGGAATTGGCAAAACATTCCTGGTGCAAAAGTTTGTGTTGGACTGGGCCAAGGGAAGAACAAACCAAGATGTTCACCTTATATTTCACTTCACTTTCCGCGAACTGAATTTACTGAAGGGAGAAAAGGTTCGCTTGGCTGAGCTAATCCACAAATGCATCTGGGAAACCAAAGACATCAACAAGACTGACCTTACTGAGATATTCACGAAATTACAGGGATCGGGAAACCGTGATTTTAACAAGAGTGAATTCAAGCTTCTCTTTGTGTTTGATGGACTGGACGAAAGCCGCCTTCAGCTGGAATTTACTGCCAGTGAACAGATGCCGGCTGAATTTAATGTGGCAAAGTCAACCTCAGTGGATGCGCTTCTGTCAGCGCTCATCGAGGGGAGACTGCTTCCCTCGGCTCGCGTCTGGGTAACCACACGGCCTGCAGCAGCCAATCAGATCCCTCAACGCTTCGTCCAATGCAAGACAGCGGTCGGAGGATTCACTGATCCACAGAAGGAGGAGTATTTCAAGAAGAAGTTTCCAGATGAAAAGCAATCGACCAAAATCATCTCCCACATCAAGGCATCACGGAGCCTGTTCATCATGTGCCATATCCCCGTCTTCTGCTGGATCACTGCTACAGTTTTGAAGGACGTTTTGAAGAAGAGAGGACAGGCAGAGCTGCCCAAAACCCTGACCGAGATGTACACAGAATTCGTGGTGTTTCAGATCACCCTGACAGCCAAGAAATATGGCACAAAAAAGAGCATTCATTACATCCAGTCATTGGCAAAGCTAGCTTTTCACCAGCTGGAGAAAGGCCACCTGCTCTTCTACCAGAGAGACCTGAAAGGCAGTGGCATCGATATCCGTAGAGCTGCGGAGTACTCTGGAGTTTTCACCCAGGTCTTTAAAGAGGAGCATAGGTGGAAGAAAGACGACAAGGGCAAGATGTTCAGCTTTGTCCACCTAAGCCTTCAGGAGTATCTGGCTGCTCTTCATGTGGTCATGTCACTCATTAACAACAACATGAATGTACTCTCTAAGCTAACACTGGAAAAACTTTGCATGCCTTGCAAGAAAAAATGCATAACAGAAGTCCACAAGATTGCCATTGACAAAGCCTTAAAGAGTTCAAACGGGCACCTGGACTTGTTCCTGCGCTTCCTCCTGGGCCTCTCCCTGCAGACCAATCAGGATCTCCTTAAGGACCTGTTGACGATCCCAAAAGACTTTTCCGAGGATAACCATCAAACAATCAAGTCCATCAAGGAAAGGATTAGGGAGAATGAATCGTCAGAGAGGAGCACCAATCTGTTTTACTGTCTGAATGAGCTGAGAGACGATTCTCTAGAGGACGAGATCCAACAGTACCTGAGTTCAGGAAGGCTTTCAACAAGAAATCTGTCCCCTGCTCTCTGGGCAGCTCTGGTCTTCATCCTACTGTCATCGGAAGAAGCCCTGGAGGTGTTTGACCTGAAGAAATACTCTGCTTCTGAGGAGGGTCTCCTGAGGCTGCTGCCAGTGGTCAAGGCCTCCACCAAATCACTGTATGTGCACTAGGGCTGTCCCGAATACAATTTTTTGGGCTCCGGATATTCGGTAGTAATGAGCAGCGAATATTCGGCCCGCGCGGGGGGGGGGCGTACATAGTAATCAGCAGCGAACCGCTTCAACACGTGTATTTCGGTTTATTCACGGCATTCATTTAGTTATTCTACAGTATTGTTGTTTTATAGTTATTTGTTAATGTAACCCAATTTGTGTTCTTTGAAATTGAAAAGGATATCGCATTGTGTGTGTTACTTTCGTTGCAGTTGTATATGTCTTAAGTGTAATTTGGCTTGGCTTCCTATTTATGGACATGCTTTTATTTTGAAGGAGAGGTAGCGCTGTTGACAGGAAGTTGTTGTTGCTATGGAAACAACGTGACGGAGATTAACGGAGAAAAGTAATATCTACATATAAAGACGGAGAAAGTAAACGATAATGTTTATGATTAAGTGTTAGCACCCCCCGAAGAGGCACAAGCTCTTACGTTGATATTGGAGATTTCAATAAATTCAATTTGAAAAAAAAACGAAAAAACAAACAAAACGAATATCCGAATAACGAAATTGAAACCCGAATAGTACTCCAACGAACAATATTCGGGTACAGTAGGGTTGTA